AGCAGACGGCCAGGGAGGCGGGCGAGCAGGCCAGGAGCGCGCAGCAGGTACCGCGCTCGGGCACGTTGCCGGCCAGGGCGGTCACAGCTGTGCTCCGCTCCCCTGCTGTCATTAGACAGTGAAGCCAGCTGTGTCCTGGCATGTTTTTGGATGAGGCGAGGAGGCTTTCCCGTTCGGGCCACGGCTCGGGCGTTGTCGTGTCACTTCTTGTTAATCTGATGCAGTATCCCACTACTGGATTTTTCCAGGACCTTTCTCAATCCTAATGCTTTTTGCTGGAAACTTCTCTCTGCTGTATGTCCTGCCTGAGGCAGAGCAGCCCATGCAGCTCTCAGTCAGCATCTTTCGGAGTGCATCACGAACTGTTACGCGTTTGCGTAACGTTGTGGCAAAGTTCTAGTGCAGTACCCGTTTAAAATGGAGTCAACATTGGAAAATCTCCTTTCCTCCACTCTATTTGCTTGATCCTACCTGCACTCCTTATTTGCTTTTCCACAGGCTTTCGAACAAGTGAAACAAATGTACGCTGAGCTGAAGGGAAGGATGGAGCAGAGCCCGGCTCTGGGAGAGCATGGCAGCAGGGTGCAAAGCATAGACCTGCAGGCACAGGCTCTCTTTGAGGAAATTTTGGCCATGATGGTCAGGATGGAAAGTAAGACTCTTTGTGAACTCGGTGTAATAATCTCACGCACTGGGGAAGAGCTTTTGACTCCCAGCGGGGTGAGGGAAAGAAATTATGAGGAAGGTGACATACTTCTGGCAGTGAGATGGTGCAGATTTGGGCTGCATCTGTTGGTGCTGTGCCAGTAAATTTAGAATTTGCAAGGGTGCATGGGTGGCTGTGGAAGGGATGCCCTGCCTGTGATGCCAACGTGCCCCCGTTCTCCTCCACACACTCACTTCCATTTTTAAACGTTCAAAAGTAATGGCTTTGGAGCAATCGGGTTTTGAGGGGGAAAAGGGGGAATGCAGGAGGAGGAGGAGGCAATATTTGTTTTCCTTGCCCCACCAGAGCTGTGCAGGAGGGAGGTGGATGCTCAGTCCAAGCTGCTGGGGAGGGTAATGGCCATGATGCCTTCCTCCTGTCCGATCTCTCATCGTGTAACCCTTTCCTGCCCTCTCTCCTCAGCTTTAGAGAAGGAAATTCAAGAAAGCAACAAGGCTTGGATGTCCAAGTCGGCCAGGCTGTTGGGCCTGGAGGAGCAGGTGGGAAGGATCCGGGATGCCATCAACAAGCGAGTCGCCTACTACGAGAGCTGCTCCTGAGCGAGCTGCCCGCGCTCCAATGGCACTGCCTTCCTCCTCTGCAGACACTGACTTGTGTATTTATTCCCATTTTCCGGCTGGAGTTCTCATGTGCCTAGTATCTCTATTTTTAGTAAATTGAGTTTCCATACCTCTGGAAAATAGCTGCGCTGAGCAAAAGGAGCAACCCCTTGGAGAGGGCTAACCTTGGTTGGACTGGCTGAAGCTGCCCAGTGGTTGGAGGGAAAAGGGGGAGAGACATCAATCTTCCATTGCAAATAAAAACATCCCCAAAGCTGTTATTTCCAGAGGGATTTATAAACCAAGACATGATTTCTTTTTTTTGTTTTAGCCAACTCAAGCTCTTTTAGCTGAATGTCACTGTTCAAATTAAAACCCTCATGTGGGGCCTTTTAAAACTTTTTATCTATGCTGCAGTTAATCCTTAAAACTTGCCATGGCTTCAGTACTTCCCTCCTAGATCTTTCTTCAAAGAACCAGATCACAGAAATGGAGAATTTTATCTCCATCATATCTATACAACATACTCGTATTTATACAAATAAGAGAAATGCGATCTCGTACTCAAAGGTGAAGTCAAATGTCTTGTTTGACTTTCTGCCACAATCTGCTTATTTACCATGTAACGCTTTGCCAGAAAAATACCAGAGGGAGCAGGTCTGCAGATGCGCAGGGAATGCTTTAGAAGGGACTTAATAGACCGTTTCCACATCAAATTTCTATGAATAACCAATGGGCACTTTACAAAACAAAACTCAGCTTTATTAAGCAAGTATTTATTGTGCAATTACAGACTTGGAAGCAAGGAATTTAGAACTTGCTGTGATTATTATCAGACATATGGAGGTTGCTAGCAGGTTGTCTCTCCTTTTGTAGCTGAAGTGAGAACTGCGCAGCCTGGGCAACTGGTTGATGCTGAACTTCAGCGTGCCAAAGCCTGGGACTAACCAAAATCCAAGGAGCGGAGAGGATGCAGATTGTAAAAATAACTGAGCTGCCACTGAGTAAAACTCTGCATGGCTTTGGTTTATAGGATTTACGTTGTGCAGTGCACTTATGCATTGGACAACTAAACAGTAAACAAAAGCTTATAGCACTGAGCGATGTCGTATGGATAATATACACTGAATATGCTAGCAGTAGCCTCAGACTTTCCTTTGCTAACGTGCCTTCTCCCAGCTTTAATGATCCAGAAACACCCTGAGGACACTGCAGTGATGGATTCCTGGGACTAACGTGCCGCTCGTCACCAGTCGGTCGCTGATCTCTGAGACGCTGCTGCCCGCCTGCTCCTGGCGGGACACAGCCGCCTTTCTTGCTTGCGCTGTTGATGTCTGGCTTTGAAGTGCAGAAAAGAGTAAAACAGCCCTTCTGTTTCTGCAAGAGAGAGAATTTCAATTGAGGATTGAACTTTGTTTCACTAGACTGCTACCTTCTGTTAATAAGCAGTAGCATGGGGATTAGGAACAGCTTAGATCCCTTTGTGTGCCTTATTTATAAAGGGTTATTGCATGACTGATCATTGGAATGGACCTTTTTGGAGCCTATGGTAGATCTTGCTTGCATTTATCTCTTCTATTAATCCTTTGTATATTAGAGTTCTTACATGTTCATATAATCTCATCAGTAGAGAGCGTCATAAGACGACAGGATGTAGCTCACTTCATGTAGCTTTTATGAAGAACTATGCTAGCATATGCTCACCTTTGAGGAACATTCTTTATTGCAGGATCTAATAGCAATACTTCTTACTGCTCATATATAACGTGGTGCAAATGATAACAGTTTAGCTAGTCCAGAATTAATCCAAGCTATGGTCAAACAGGATGAAACTTTCATGATTGTACTCTGCATACCTACAAAACGAATGTCTCCATGCTCTGGTAACAAAGCAACTGAAGCTGACCTGCCTGGACTGAATTCTGGGAAAGGGAGTGGCCCTTCAGGCTGCAGAGATGTCCTGTCTGTGCTTGGCCGTGGACCAGCAGCCTGTTGTCAGTCCTTTGCTCATGGTCACAGCTGAGACCCAGCTGATGAAGCTGTTTGGTTCCAGTGTGATTCCACTGAGCAGCTTTGAGTAATTGTAGAGTTTGATATGATAGGTCTGTGCTTGGCTTCCTTTCACGTGCTCCTTGGGCAACCCTCTTGTAATTGTAGAAGTTGGATTTGGAGTCACTGGACTGGCCTTAATGGAAGCTGAAAGATGATTTCTTCCTTGAAAGATGGTTTAGTTAAGGCTTTTTCTGTTGCAAAAAACCCGTGGTTCAATTTATTTCATGTACAATCACTTCGCTATTTGTGCCTTTCCCTTTTTCATGCCATAATGGGATTAATTAAAAGCAGCTAGTGACTGGATTGCAGAGCACTTACCAATGTGGGGAGCCCGGTGGCTGCCTCCTCATCACATGATCAAACAAACTCCAGTTTGCCCAGTGCCACAGTGAGAAGAGTGTTTACTGGTTTTCATTGGAACAAGAACTTCTGATTTGAAATGGCTGGTTGGAAATGGAAGAATTGGATGAGAAAGAAGAAAAAAGAGAAATAGCAATATTTACAATCATTCTGCAGGTGAACTGAAGTTGTGTTTTTAATATAAAGAATATCAGCTGCCGAAAGCAAAGCAGAGCTGGGTGCGAGTCAACACTGCAGCAAAGACAGGGTCCAGTCACTCAGCACCAGCTGAGTAATTGGCATCTGCAGCTTTAAACACAGGCAATTGCAGTTTCTGGAAAGCAAATGTGCTCAAGTCAATGGAGTGTGGCAGCTCACTGCAAGCTTTGGGCAATGTGCCTCACCTGATGCTCCTACAAGCATGGAAGGCACTTGGCTGGGTACTGCTATCCAGCCAGTCAAAACATTTGCTTCTGTCCTTATTCCTCCCTTCTTTCTACCTCCACCTGGTGCTGGCAACTTAAGTGGTGGCAACTCCTTCCAGAGATGGTTATTCCCATATACTTTGTTGGAAATTATGGCTAATGACTTGGATACCTACTGGGATTTTGCAGATTTTTTAAGCAGCACTGTCTCGGAGCAGAAGGATGTCTTAGTTTTCTCGTGCCCCACGCAGGCTGGACTGCAGCCACAAGAAGTTCTGGTTGGCGGGCTGTGGTTATCTGGCAGGACCAGGCTGCTGCCCGCGGGCAGCGGTCCGCTCTCCGAGTGGCTTTGCGGCTTTCCCTCTCTCATTCCTGCATCTTGCTGCAGCTGAGCGGGAGGGTTTGGGCAGCCCTGCATGGGGACCAGAGGGAGCGGCGTGTCCTTGTCTTCATTTGGCACTGCTGGCCGGGTGGCCACCGTGGGTGTGTTGGGTCTGGATGCCTCTGCGACTTGGATAACGGGGAGGGTGCTCTCAGCCGCTGCGTGACCGTTCATGTGGAGCTTCTTCATGTGGTGCACAACGGCTGCGGCGTTGAAGGCTTGCTGGGGAAGGAGACAAAAACCCCACAGTGAGCACCTAGCGATGCCAGGCTGGGTGGGTGCCGCGGGGCGCACGGACTGTCCCCCTGGGGCAACGGCTGCGCACGCAGGGCGGGCAGCGCTGTGCTGGTTAGCGCTGGCTGTTTGCACAGCGTGGAAAGTGGGACGTGCTCGTTACTGGCATAAACACTGCGGTTTTCACTGAGAGCAAGCTGCAGATGCTTTTGAAGACTACAACCACTCCTATGTGAGGAAATTAGGGGGAACAGCTGTAAATTACCCCACAGTGTGAAATGGCGACTAGAGCTGAATTTTGAATGCAAGTATTTAAAATGCTATCGTACATGTGGTTCCTATGGCATTCCTCTCTCCACCTAAATTCTTACTAAAACTCTTGATGTCAATGAAGTGCCAATTTATCTTCAAGGCTGAAAGGAGGAAAAGCTGGATTAAGCTCCCAAAAAGATCTGCTGATTGAGCCCCAATTTCACTCCCTCAGTATAAAGGCAGTAATCCTTTCCCCCTCCCCTCTGCTTTCTTGGCGAGGCCACTATAGTGCAATGTTTGTGGTAAATCCACCAGTATGCGTTGCAGCAGGGAGCGTTGGTCCAAACGTGCTATAAACAGTAACTGCATGCGATTTTCAGGCAGCCTTTGGAGGATCTCAGCTTTTGGGTTCTTACCCACACAACTGAAGCCTTGTTTATTGCTAGATGGCAGCAACTGGCATTTGTTAGTGAAATGGCTCTAGGCTCCCACCAGCAGACGACTTACCCTCCATTTGCTCTTTGCAAAGTTTTTCTGAATCTGAGCGCTGACAGATGGGTATATGTCACGGTGAAGGGCTGTATTTCCATTAATCCTGCAGATGGGGAGAGAAGAAAATGGGCTCGTAGGCAGATGGCATTTGTAAGGCATTCCACATTCTGGAGGCAACTAACTGCTTTGTACGTTCAATCAGCAATAATTAAACCCAAAGGAAAAACAGCAACAAAATGTAACACAAACATGCACTTCAAAGCTTGGAAAAGCTCAGGATGGGATTTCTTCTTTGCCTCTGTTTATGGAGGCAAATATGCACAAATTGCGTCTTTAATTATTCATCATTTTCTTTCTTTGCGCACAAAAGAGAAACACCCAGGGCCACGCGCGGGCAGACGGTGACGTTAGTAAGGGGGGCTGGAGCGACGCCCCTGTTCGCAGCTACTGCCGAGCACGTGGGGCGAGGCGCGGCGGCCGGAAAATCCCCGAGGCCCCGGCCTCTCACCATGGGTGCCGCAGGGCTTCTTCGCAGGTAAACCTCGTGTTTGGGTTTTTCTCCAGTAAATGTCGGATGAAATCCTTGGCTGTTGGGAGGGGAGGAGAAGCAGAGAGAAAAGGTTATTTTCTCCTTGTTCCAAGATATGATCCTCATAGGACATGGCAAACAATAGCAGATAAACATTGCAAAGCTCAGCCCCGGGAAGGAGGCGTTCGTATCGCTTCGTTACTCTGTTAAAGGGAGATGCTTGTAGCGAAGGGCTCCAGATGAAAAATGTTAACTGGGGACGTACTAAACTTCAGGCTTAGATTACATGAATTTGAGCTGAATTTATTGAGCTAAAAAATAACCCTGAACCCTGTAAAAACATAAAGTGCAAACTGTGCAGATTTAGAAGTGGCCCTAAAGAGCAGTTGCATCCTTCCCATTTTTTTTCTTTTTTTTTTTTTTCTCCAGGGAGGATTGCAGTGTTTGTTATTACATCCTAACAAACCTCAGGCTAGTTTCGTTTGTGTGTATAAAAGGTTGATATTCAAAATATGCTGTGAAAATGCTGGCTTTGGTAAACTCTGCGCAGGCAAGCTCCGCAAGCAGGTTAGTCTGGTGGAAGGGTGCAGTGGTGGCTGACACGGTTTGCTGTGTTGCTGTAAGGAAATGTGACCTAATGGAAGAAAAGCAAAGGGGAAAAGGAAAAAAGAAAAAAACCCCACCCACCC